GGATCTTGGGCCTAACTCAACCCCAAAAGCTAGCTTGTGAGGGGAGGATTGCCCTAGACCATTGGGTTCTCATCCCACAAATAGGGATGGCAATGGGGCGGGTTGAAGTGGGTTTCTTAAAAACTAATGTGGGGCGGGGCAGTTGTGGGTCTAGGCGGTTTTATGAGGGTTCAAACTTAATTTTAACTTTTTACATGTTATATGAGTTATAGAACATTATTTATTAAGATAATTTCTTTAAAGTTACTAAAATACTCAAGATAGTAAATGAAAATGGTTCAATAAAAACTATTACGGTTACTTACATGCTTCCCAATTGACCTTTAAAAAATAAAATTTCAAGTTATTATCTATTAAATCAATACAACTTAATAAGAAAATGAATTTATTTATGAATTTCATTTTTAGCATCAAACTTAAATGTAAAAGGAAAATATTCAAAAATTTATGCGAGGCGGGTTTATGTGGGGTGGGGTGAAAATGAAAAAAATTGTTATGTGGGGCGGGTTAAAATTTTTGCGGGTTAAGCTCAACCCGCCCCGCCCCATTACCATCTCTACCACAAACGATGTGGAACTCCAGCATTTCCCCCAATAGGACTAGACATTTGGAGCGCGAATTGGAAACAATGAATTAGGATGAGCCCGACTCTCTCACCATGTAAAGAAATGGATCTTGAGCTATCTTTTAGGCTTAACTCAACCCCAAAAGCTAGTTCATGAGGTGAGGATTTCCCCAAACCATATAAAGAGCCCACTCACTCCTTTGATCCTCCATGTGAGACTCTTCGTGCCTTTTCACAATTTGCTTCTTATCTCGATAAAGCCTACTCAGATCACTCCCCCCCCCCCCCAATCACGCCCAGAGCTAGACAACTGGTGTGTGGACAATTTAATATGTGGGTCCAACACTGGATATGAAAATTGGGATGGGTTGTGCTCTGATACCATGTAAAGAAATAGATCTTCGGCCCTTTACCAAAAATAAGAAATGGATCTTGGGCCTAACTCAACCCCAAAAACCTTAGCTTATGAGGGAGGATTCCCCAAGACCATATAAGGATTCCAAGGATTCCATGTTCTCATCCCACATATTATTAAAAGCTACAATCTCTTCTTTTTTACGTAACAATATGAAACCTTATGTTGTCCTTACATGTTTGGTCTGTTCATCCTTACTGCATTTCATGTGTATGAATAATGACTTTATTGAATTGCAGGCAAAGTCACAAGTCATTCTTTGACAAATCAGATCTATTTTTCGTCTGCATGCTGCAACCTCTTTCCCATGATATCCAGATGCAAGAGAGAGAAATAGAGGCAGCCCAGGTACATGCTGTTTAAAATAATATTCTGAACTAGGACTTTCTATGTCAATGCTATTAAATAAATATGACATAATACTTAAACGGACACTCAAATTTGACCTCAACTGGCAAGCTAACATTCCAATTTTCAGAGGGCACATCTAGACACCTCAACTTGGATTTGATTGTCAACTAAACACTCCAATTCATCTCCATTGTGTCTCGTGGAGACCTGATGCTGACGCCGCACATAAATTTTATGGGTGTCTAGATGATCATTTTGTAAATTGGAGTGTTCAATTGACAAAATGGAGATGAGTTGAGGTGTCTAGATGTGCATACTCGCAGTTGGAACGTTGACTTGCTAGTTGAGGCCAAGTTTGAGTGTCTATTTATGTATTATGCCAATATATAATGCTCTTAGACTTCACCATTTCAGCAATTCCCCTTTTCCCCTTCTCAGTCCATTAGAAGTTCCAGGAACCTGAACAAACAACATTTTTCCCTCTAAGCAGATCTTGCAGTTTCTGTAGATTTTTTTTAGCTGAAATCATGTGGTTTTGCTGTTGGACAAAGTAATCAAGTAGAAACAATTGACATGAGCTTTATTGAAGGTGAATGAAGGAAGTTAACTTGGATCAATATAACTTACTCTTAGAAACTTATGTGCAAACTTTACCTATTAAAAAAGAATATGAGCAAGCTTGCACCTAAGGGTGCGGAAAAATGGCCAATCAAGTGGGTGAAAATCATAGGGGGTTGGGATTCCAAGTTTGATTTCTTCTCATTTGCCTAAGTCCTGGTGGGTAGAGTTACCTGGTGCCTATAGTGGTGGTAGATAGTAGGTACGGATGAAATAGTTGAAGTGTGTGCAAATTGACATGGATACCATCATTATAAAACATTTTTTTTTTCAAAAAGAAATTTATGTGCAAACTTGTGTATAAGCAAAGTTCATATGCGTCAAATAAGCTGTTCAGAGCTGCACGCCCCAAGCTCGTGTTTTTTCGTTAATACTTTTTGTTTGTCCTCTACTTGCAGTGGATGCCATTTGAACAATATGCAGCTCAGCCATTTGTCCAAGGACATGATCTTCTCAGATACATCTCTGACATATGCTCGGCGAAGATGGAGGGTAGGTATACGGGCTTCTCACCAGTTCCTACAGTAACCAGTTTTTCTGCAAAGAAAACCTACTTGTACATGAACGGCAATGTCAGAACAACTGGTCAGCAACGACCCCTAATGTGAAAAATATTGATTCTTCCCTCTCCCAAAAGTTGAAAAAGGAAGAAATATGGATAGAAAGTTCGAGTCACTGTTGACTTCAATGAAGTTTATAAAGGTGCAATTCTTTTTTGGAATAAACATTAGATCAAAAGTGTTTTGTGATGGGAAAATTGGCTTTCAGGTTTACATTTTTGTATGTGATACATGATGCTTCAAGTGTACACCAAGAATTATTTGTGTATTCAAGTTTCTTTGATTGACCTTTGTGACTATCTTCTACTTATCAATTATTTGTTGTATGTACTCTTGGCTCATGACAAGCATACCTATTTGAAGAATGAGCCTGCGGCTCATAGGCCACTTGGTTAAGTAACCTATCAGAGCCGTAGTGAAAGCGAGTCTTCATAGGGCAATTGTCACCTTAAAAGTGAGCCTTCTAAGGAATGTCAAGTTGTTTGATTACGAATCCTTTGTTCATGAATGGGATGTGCGATGGGATCCCTTCCTCAATGAGGATTGCTAAAATCTTCTTTTTAAATGAAAAAGATGACGTTCAAATGAGGAAAGACTTACGGTGTATACATAGACATTCAGAGACAAGCAAGGGTGTAGTAATCGATGAAATGCTTCAAGTCTAGATATACAATTCCAATACGAGGATGGACGTAATAAACGTTGAAATGCTTTGGGGCTAATATATAAGTCTAGATATATAAAATGAACAAGTAATAAGTAAAATCAAATATAATCAAAGAAAAACCACTAATAGCAGTAATAAAAGTGGTTACCTTGTACTATCATTTTTTCGGAAACCTCTTTTGTCTCATCAACAAATTGATTGATAGAATGGACACAAACAAGAAACGCTTATTAGACTTAGTACGCCTAAGGGCCCAATTTGATTTTGTAATCCTCAAGATGGCCACCATAACATGTTTTCAGTTTTTTTTATTTGGTAACTGATATTTATATTAGGGCTAATTAAATCTGCACTCGTACATTTTGGGTTCCATTTCTGGGGATGTTGCTCCAACAATTTTTTCATTACCAAAGACTCAAACTCGAGACTTCTGATTAAAGATGAAAGAATCTTGTATCATCCCACCACAATCCAGACATGTTCGCCATAATAATACTCCCCCGTTCATTTTTATTTGTCACTTTGAACATATCAAGAAAGATAAAAAAAAATTCTTATTTTACCTTCAACATCAATTACTTATTCGCCGAATCATTTTTAAAGACCTATATTCATATATCAATTAATATAAATATTGTGATAACTATTCATATTAATTATTGTTTGTTAACGAGCACGTAAAGTTCCAAGTAAATAAGTAAAAGTGAACGGAGGGAATCGTTATGTGGCAAATGGTGGACAGATATTTGGTCATTGTGGCTCTCATTGGAAAACGACTTTGCATTAACTTATCCACAAGTGCTCAAATGTTGAAAAGGATGTGCAACAACCCTTTTAGCATCAAAGATCCAAGGTGGAAAAGTTTTGTTGGATCCATTTTATATACTAAATTATGTTAATTTAATATGATAAAGTGATGATTTGAAGTAAATTACGTAATAATTATTAGTTTATTACGGTTAAGTGATAAATGTTAGGTAAAGGGATTAAACACATTCACTTATTACTTAGCAATTTACTCCCCTCTTAAGTTATACATGATGTACACTTAATCACTAATACATGATGCATCAAGGGTAAATCAAAATTGAAGTCACCAACGAAGGTTGTGGTAGAGTAGTAAGTATTCTTTTATTCTTAATTAGATGTTTTGATTTTGAGTTCCCCTAGGTATCGAGTCACCTTTGTTGGGAGACGCTTTATCCTTAACTTGGGAGGAGTGAATCTCGATTTATTCGGGCTCCAATACGAGTATCAGACACTGAACGAATTTATTAAAATACACCTCAATTAGTATTTGATGGTGCGTGGTATACACTCTCTTTCTTAATTTAAAAATGGTGTCAAACGACACTCCACACTGATAGTTAAAGAAATGAATTGGATTTCTTTTTTAAAAGACAATGGTTAAAAAGAATCAAGTGCTTGTGTTTCTTTGAAAATTAATTATCAAAACATGCCCCGAAATTAATGAGTAATCTGCTATGTGGAAAAATTATTTTGGGCAAATTAAGTTACCATGCGTATTTTGATAACTGTTATTCAAAAACTTAGTCTTTTCAACTTCGAATTATGTTTTAGTAAATAGTTGATGATGGTTAGATAAAAAAACATATACCTCATATGTTCTTTTTTTGTTTATTATTGTCTCTATTTTTACGATAATTTATCAAAAAACAGTCTCCTTACATAGATATGATACGCTATTGTACTTTATTAAAATTTTAATAAATATAATTTAGCATAAATTTTGGTACAAGTAAGTTTTTACGTGTTGTTAAACTTGAATTATTGTATGCATAAACACAAGCAATTAAATTAGTTTCAAATTCGTACACACATGACACATATTTGCTTTCACCTGTGCCTTTCTTTTACCGGCTATTCTGTGTGTTCCTTACTTCACTCATCTTGCAAAAACTCAATTATCTAATCTTTAATCCCATATAATCATAGAGAAAACACAAATACAAAGCCAATTAAAATCCCAATTTTTTTTTTTTAATCTGGTTACTTCTTGTCCTTAATATTCATATATAGTGGTGGTGGGTGAAATGTATTAATAAAAACTATACAAAGAAAGAATCTTTTTTGTAGATTTGAAGTGGGTTTTTTGTGGGTGGTGTTAAAGATTCAAGAAAATGGGGAATGTTAATGGAAGAGAAGAAAATGAGGGCAATATCCCATCTGGGGTTGATTCTGGTGGGGTCCAAGATATCATGGCCGTTCATCAGGTTGATGGAGAGTTCATGGGTCAATCTCCACCGTCCAGTCCTAGGGCATCTCGTTCACCTTTGATGTTTCGACCTGAGGTAAGTTTGTTAACCTTTTTAGCCTTTATTGGAAATGTGGGGTGGAGGGGTTGTTTTATTTCTTTTTTGTTTTGTCTTATTGTTCTTGATTTTTTTTGTTGTATTGATATGAAGTGCTTCATGTAGCTGGATTTGAGGTATATTTGTTGTTTGTTGCTTATGTAGGTGTAAAGTTCAAATCTTTTTATGTTTAATTGGTTGAAACAAGTTTGGGATCGCGTGTAGTGGTTATTGTTGTTGTGCTCGTTTTTGGTGTAATGTTTTAATCTTTGTCTATCTAATTGATTGGAATGAAGTGGGTTCAAATGAAGCGAATGAATATTGAGGATTCATGTAGCTGACCTCAACTAGTTAGGATTTGAGGCATATTTGGTGTTGTTTCTTATGTAGGTGTAAAGCTCAAATCTTTTTCAGTTAATTGGTTGAAACTAGTTTAGGATCGCGGCGTAGTTGTTGTTTTTAAAATCTCTGTCTATCCAATTGCTTGGAATGAAGTGAATTCAAAAGAAGCGAATGAATATTGAGGATTCATGTAGCTGACCTCAACTAGTTAGGGATTTGAGGCATATTTAGTGTTGTTGCTTATGTAGGTGTAAAGGTCAAATCTTTTTCTGTTAATTGGTTGAAACTAGTGTGGGATCGCGTTGTTGTTGTTGTGCTTGTTTTGGTGTAATGTTTTAATCTTTGTCTATCTAATGGCTTGGAATGAAGTGGATTCAAATTAAGCGGATGAATATTGAGGATTCATGTAACTGACCTCAACTAGTTAGGATTTGAGGCATATTAGTTGTTGATGCTTATGTAGGTGTAAAGTGATCTTTATAATGTTTAATTGTTTGAAACTGGTCTGGGATTGTTGTTTAGGTGTAAAATTTTAATAGTTGTCTATCTAATTGCTTGGAATGACGTGTTTTCAGATGAAGTGATTCATGTAGCAGACCTCAACTAGTTAGGATTTGAGTCATATCAGATGTTGTTGATTATGTAGGTGTAGAGTGATCTTTTTTCTGCTCAATTGGTTCAAACTGGTTTGTGATTGCGATGTTGTTGTTGTTATGCTTTGTTTAGGGGCAAAATTTTAATTTTGTCTATCTAACTGGTTGTGCCTTATAGTGACTTGGGTTCAAATAAAGTGAATGAATATTGGGGATTCATATAACCGACCTCAACTAGTTAGGAGTTGATGCATATTAGTTGTTGTTGCTTATGTAGGTGTAAAGTTCAAATCTTTTTTCTGTTTAATTGGTTGAAACTTGTTTGGGATTGCGGCATAGTGGTTGTTGTGCTTGTTTAGGTGCAAAGTTTTAATCTTTTGTCTATCTAATTGCTTGAAGTTTGTGGAATCAAGTAGACTGGATCTGTTTTGTGGTACATACATGAATGGTGTACTATGCTATAGATGGTTGGATCTGAATAAAGGTCATTTCTTAAAATTGCTGTACTTTTTGGCAAAAACTTCTAGTTCTGAATTCTGATATCTGAGTTGTTTTTGAAATGTTAAGGCTGTGTGATCGTAAAATTGTATCTTTTTCTTAAGTTGATTTAAACTGTCTTTTTAGCATTTCACACATGAATGTTGCTACTATGCATTGATGGTTATAGATCTGAATGAAGGTCATTACTTTAAATTGCTGGTATTTTTTTTTTTTGATGAAAACTATCTTCTGAAATCTGAATTGCTTTTAAAATGTGAAGACTTCCCGTTCACCTTTGATGTTTCGACGTGGGGTCAGTTGTTACCCTTTGCATTCTTTCTCGGAAATGAGGGTTGAAGGGGGGTAGTATTTCTATTTTCCCTTCTTTTATTTATTTTTCAAATATTTTTGAGTATTAGAGTGATATGGGTTGAAACAATATGAAATGAGTGTGAAGGACTTATATAACCGTACCGAAGTAGTTTCTGGTCGAGATGTTAGTGTTGTTGCTGATTGTGTAGGTTGATTTAGACTGAGATTTATTTTGTGGTTCATATTCAAACTGCGAATTTTGACGGTTAGCTCTGAGTAAAGGTTATCACTTTAAATTGCTGTATTTTTTTTATGATAAGTGAAAACTGTTTAGTTCTGAAATCTGAATTGTTTTTGAAATGTTAAGGTTATAAGCTCAATTGGTTTCTTCAAAACAAACCTTTTATACATCAGTAATATATGGTTTATCTGAATTGCTTCCTTAAGCAATTGCTAAACTACGTTTTCCACTTCTTGATGTTCGGCTAATGTTGTTGGCAACTAGCATGGACTTAATTTTTCTCATGTTGATTTCTCTGCAAAGAGATGATTTGTATGATCGACATCATTTAGTTTTTAAATGTTTGCCCCAGATGCCAGTGGTTCCTCTACAGAGACCTGATGAGGGGCACGGCCCAAGCATTTCATGGTCGCAAACCACCTCAGGTTATGAAGAACCTTGTGACGAGCAAGGAGTTCCAACACTTATATCTTGGACTCTTGATGGCAAAGAAGTTGCTGTGGAGGGATCATGGGATAATTGGAAGTCAAGGTTATAAGTTTTACTTTTCTCATCCACGTTCTACAGCAAAAAGACAATTTCCTCATCCATGATCTCTATTTAGGCATCAAGGTTGCAAGTTTAACGTTAAAAGTTTCAAACTCATTTTCCAGGATGCCTCTGCAAAAATCAGGGAAGGATTTCACCATTTTGAAGGTACTTCCTTCAGGGGTATACCAATATAGGTTTATAGTTGACGGACAATGGAGGTGTTCGCCTGACTTGCCATGTGTTCAGGATGAAGCAGGGAATACTTACAACCTTTTAGACATGAAGGTACATTTGTCATCCTGTTGCTTCTTTTTCAATTTTCTTTTTCATCCTGTTGTCATGGTTATTAATACATTTTCAGTAATCCATTGAATTCTAAGTCTAGTTTTGTGTTGTACGGTTTCTTCGAGGCTCCTGAAAGTCTGAAGCACATTACTAGATATAATACGTTAGTCAAATTAACTTCACCAAGTTAAACTATGTTGTCTATAAAAACATGGGAGGAGTAATTATTATTATGTGATTGCCTGATCGGAAGCTTCATGCTTCTTCATGAATACTAGTTTTTGTTAGATCTGTGTGCTTAATCCGGTAATTTACGACACTTCAGAGAACTAGCCTACATGTAATAGGTAGTGTCTGCCTTTTATACTCACATCTCAAATATGAAAGATGACTTCAAACATTATGAGACTGAGACACTTCTGAATGAGTTGTTTCTTCATGGCTCATTCTTATACATATAGTTTTAGATAATTGGAATTTAGAGGTTTTTGAAATTCTGTTTGGCTCTTCTTCATAGATCAAAAGCTCCTCATGGATTGCACTTATGCCTGTGTTCTTCAGCTGTATAAGGATTTGACTTTCAAAAATGATATGGAAAAAGATTTTACGTGTCTGTTGGTTGAATCTCTGCTGAGTTTTGCTTTATCTTAGACTGAACCTTAGCTGTCACTCAAGTGTCTAGTTTGTTCATGTCTGTGTGATAGAAAATATGGTGAGAGATTATTAAGTTAATGCCTGAGTATGTCCTTTGTTTTCTCAAAGAAGAATCATAGGGAATTTCACCAAGATTTTTTTTGAATTGCATCCATTACATTTTTTACAAGTCATTATGTTGCTTAAAGGATATGTCAACTCATTTACCTTTAAAGAGAAGTTCTAGTCTTTGATGGCCATATGGTATGGCTAACGTTGTGGGTGTTCTCCAATAATCTCTCTCTCGTCGAGTCACTGTATCCAGTGTAAACTTTTTGACATCTTCAATTTTTCTCCCATAACGTCTATCTTAATTTCTGTTATTTTTTAATTATTTTGTGCTTTTGCATAGAATATGTGTAAGAGTTTTTAAACTATTTATTGTGATATTTTATGTTTTTTTGTGTAAAACTAGAATACCTTCTCATTTGTCTGTATGGGGGTAAGTCGTTTGAATGGGGAAAGCTGTAAAGTGTTGATACCTGTTTCTTTTAGATTCAAAGTGAAGAGATGAACTTTTTCTTTGGCGAAATTTGTTCGTTAGTGCCTTATGCAGCAGCCTAACCTCAGTAGTTATTTTCACAGGCGTATAGGTGTTACTGATAATTTTCCACTTTAGACCCATATTTTCTTCTCTGTTTCTTCTCCGTTCAGTATTGACATCATGGCTCATCACACGGTTTGCCTGCAAGCAAATGGCCACAAACATATTCTTTTCTATTATTTTTCATTCTCATCCACCAAATCTTGGATCGTTTAGGCTGCAAATAGGGTATATTTAGTATGTTCATTTATTTTTATAGGTCTAACACATTTTTCACATATTGATTTGCTGCTATTTCATTACAGGCTTGTAAACCTTTTACTTATACAACATAACCCCAACATCCCACTTTGCAAAGAGAAGTCTTGGCTGTTTACGAATCCTTTAGTTTCTGTAATTATGTGATTCCCTTTTTCACTTTTATGTCCCATAACTTGATTTGTTTCTAGAGTAGATATTCATGTTAGATTAAAGGGCATTCAAGCACTTCGATGAAAATTAATGACACTTGTGGAGTAACGGTTAAATTTGCAGCAAAAGAAGTGTGATCCACTCCAACTCTTTTTTATATTGTAAACACCAGCACTCTAGACCCAATTGCGGAGGAGCCATGCTAAGGGGTGTCAGCCGGAAAATTACACTGTTTAATTCAGTCAAACTTCTAGTTTTATGTATATATACTATAGGTTGACTCCCGTTATTTTCTATGTGTGTCTACTTTTTTTTATATTGTGACACCCTTTAGTCCAGACCCCTCTTCCAGGACAGTTGTTTCACTAGACTATCCCACCTTTGTGGCGTGGTTCAACCAACCTTTGGTTGGATTCGAGTCAAAGGGAGCAGAGTGAGAGAGTTCCACCAGTGAATCCTGGATAGGTGGGTTCTGAGGGGCGGGGTTTACCCTATCAAAAAGAAAAAGTACAAGCATGATACTCGACTTTGTTGATGACACGGATTGTTCTACGATTAGTGTTAGCTAAACCTTTCTTGAATGAATCATCTCAGTCTTACTCAACTTGCTAAGTTGCCTTTAGACTAATCTCACTCTGATGAAAGCTAGATTTTCCAGATGGGCATAGCACTCGTCATATCAACGTTTTTTCCTTTGCATTGACGTGCTATAACTTGACAAAGTTCTGTCCTTACCGACTGATGCAATGTGCAGGATTACGTTCCAGAAGACATTGAAAGCATTTCTGGTTTCGAACCTCCTCAGTCCCCTGATTCCAGCTACAACAACTTGCACCTTGTATCCGAGGACTACGCTAAGGAGCCACCCGTGGTCCCACCCCATCTACAGATGACGTTGCTTAACGTTTCTCCATCTCACATGGAAATTCCACCTCCGCTTTCAAGACCTCAGCACGTGGTACTTAACCATCTCTACATGCAGAAAGACAGGAGTACCCCTTCCGTGGTAGCACTCGGTTCAACTAACCGGTTCCTGTCCAAATACGTGACCGTGGTTCTTTACAAGTCGATACAGAGGTGAAGATTCGATCAACTTGTCTTTACGATAGTCTTAAATAACTCGAATACTCGTAGCTCAATATTAGAAGTCAAGTTGGTTCATGTTTTCTGCAGTTAAAAGGCCAAAAAAAAAAAAAGAGCAATAGAGGTAATGTTTAGAAGTTTATATTGTAGCAAAGCTTGATTGTGACTTCCTCCATTTACTTTTCCATCTCTCATTTGCCCCTTTTTTCTTCTTTTAACATACAATTTGATCAATTCCAATTCTTTTTCTTTCCATCTTATGAACTAGATCTTATATGGCTTTGCTTTCTTTGATATTGCCCTATATGATCTACACCAATCGTAATAATATATCTAATGTAATCTTACAAATGGAGTCTGAAAAAAGGCGTGTCGTGGTGTACGCAGACCTTACCCTGAGAAAATTGTGTTGTGGAGTAGCTGAGTTGTAGTTCTCAAAAGAGAATGTACAAACAATTTTGGCATAATACATCGATAACCTCTTAAATTAATAAATTTAATTTAGATAATTGAATTACTCATATCCCAATTTATATGGCATTTTTCATTTTTCGAGAGTCAAACATTTTAAATTTAATCGGGAATTTACGCATGAAATCTTCATAATTGTCATCTAAAATATTTAAAGGATATATGAAAATTTTACGGTAAAAGATAAATTTGTTTAAATCTCAAAATTTGAAAAATGTCACATAAATTGGGACAAAGAAGTATAGTTTTTTTCTAATAGAGTATTTAAACATATGATAAAATATTTCTATTAAACACTTTCAATTTTAACTTTTCTTTCTACATGTCATTTCAAATACTCATAACATAGATAATTCGTTAATTATTTAAAATATATTACGTTCATACATCATCTTTAATTGAAACATCTATCAGGTTTTACCACTTATTAAGATTAATTTGTATAACTAAAAGAAATGTCATAATGAACGTTTGAAAATATATATACAAAAAAAACTTAAAATTTAAATTGGAAGTATTTGAATAAAAAAAACTTAGTGTATATTCAGATACTTAATTAAAATAAATAATAATTTAATTTTTATAAATATAATTTACTCACAAATTTAAAAGGCATTTAATGATAGTACTCAGCCAACAACTTTTTTTTACTGTTTGGTCAGCCGGCCATTAGTATTAATTATTTCAGAGCTTTACATTAAATTCATTCAGACATTTCATTTTCATTTGCCTGTTGCAATCGATTAGAATTAGTCGAGTCGATAAATTTTATATATAAAATAATTATATGAAAAGAAAATATTTTACATTTTCGAAATTCATTTTGTTTACCCTTTATAAGTAATGAGGTCTTGTTCATTTTGATATTATCAATTTGTGTCGCCTGCATAAATTCGTCCCACATAATTTGCTTTTACCGAAGATCGTAAGAAAAATGAAACATAAATTAATATGTACATTGTTGCGTAGATGCACCGACAAAGAAAAATAAAGTGTAGTATATATTAAAAAAAAAATTGGAATCTATTAAAAAACATATGTGCTATGTTCAATGATACTAAACTTTTTTCAATTCTTTATATTATTATTTTTTTTTAAAAAGAAACTTTTTCTTCTTTTTAATGAAACTTATTTTTCTTATTTATTGGAATATATACACTTAACTTCGAAGCTTCAAAGCAAAAAGTTAGATAGGACTCTTAATTTGAAAAAGGTTTAAATTATATATGTTGAGAATAATTTTTTTTTGAAGTATTAATAATGCAGTTTAGTTTATGATATTGAATTTATTATTATTTGTTTTTATTAAATTACTAATTAATATTTATCATAAAGTATATTTATATTTCATATAAAGTGACTGAGCTTGATTGTGTAGTGAATAATATTTACCCCGTATATATGAAACTTAATATTTTAAATAAAATGTTTCCTATTTTTGTTTAATTTAAAGCTAATTACATGTGTCCATAACAAGTTATATTCAAATTTCTAAGGATTGTGACGGAATGAACAAAAATCTTTTATTCTTCGGCAAGCACTAGATATAAAAAACTAAATTCAAATTCTCATAGAGAGAGTTTGTTCAAATAAACCTCATATATCAACACAAACTGAATTAATCAAATTTCAATTTACGACTATCAAACATCATATCTTGCTAAAACATCGATCCATGTTTACCACACATTATTGTTAGGACCGAAATAAGCAGGTGTAACGCGGAAGCTAGCAAAACAAACCTACGAAAGACCATGAGTAAGAAGACAAACGAGAAAATATACAAAGACACAAAGATTTAACGTGGTTCGGTCAATCGACCTACGTCCACAAAGGAGATGAGCAAGCCACTATATAAATATGAGAGTACAAAATATAGAGAGAAACAACCTCAACCAATTCACTCGGAATACATGGGAGGTCCACACAAATGATAATGTATCAAGCTTGTGACCCACAAATTCTCCCCCTAACCAAAACTCTCAAAGCCCTTAAAACTACATTGTGAATGCTGATTAAGTTAGAAGGAACAAACCTCTATTTATAGAGTCCTAAACCTTTTCCTACAAGAAAAGAACTAGCTAATCCAAAACCTTTTCCTAAAAGGAAAACCTATTTATGGTAAGAAATTCAGGGCAAATAAAACCCAACAATTATCTAATCAAATTCAATCTTCTCTCGATACATTCTTTAAAAGAATCTGATTCCAATAAATTCTTCTCGTTGATGATACCTTTTCAATTATACTTGGTTTCAAATCTCAAGACGCAATCCTAAATAGGATGGTGAAATCTATCAAACTATAGTACCATAGTAACAAAGGAAATTTCCAGTGAAGCGGTGAAATGCATAGAGAACGAAAGCAGCTAACAACAAATTATACTTAGAGAACTTTTCTTTTGGAATGAGACTTCCCATGTGCAATGAAGTTCAAGCCTTTATTTGGTACTAGAATTCTGTTATCTGTACTGTCCAAAAGTGACAAAATGTGATAGTTAAATTCGTTTTAATAACTTGAAAAATATTCATGAATTTTTGGGAAGGAGATAAAAGAATAAAATTAATTATATTTTAGTCCATGGCCATGGAGTTGAAAACTTTAAAAATGCTTCTTAGATATCTAAATAGAAAGAGTTTGAGAAAGACAGATATAAAATGAATTAGTTGAATGTGATTTATGAATAAGTTTCTCTCTCTTCTTATTTATTGTTGAAATTACTTTATTACCCCTTCCGTTAATATTATTTGTTCAGTATTTTAAAATATATTTATTTATTACTTTTATTACTTTTATCATATCAAGAAAAGATAATTATTTTTTCGATTTTATACTCAACAATAATTGAGCTGAGAAAGAAAGGCATAAACTGCATTCGACGAATACGATTTATGTGTAAAATTCAATGTCTTCTTATTTATTGTTGAAATTACTTTATTACCCCTTCCGTTTAATCTTAATTGTCCACTTTTTTTAAAATATAATTATTTCTTTTATTTATTACTTTTGTTATATAAAGAAAAGATTGATTTTTTTCCATTTTATACTCGACAATAATTGAGCTGAGAAAGAAAGGCATAAAATGCATTTGACGAATGCGATTTATGTGTAAAATTCAGTGTCTTCATTTTTATTGTTTAAATTACTTCATTACCCCTTCCGTTTAATCTTACTCGTCCACCATTTTTAAAATATAATTATTACTTTTATTTATTACTTTTATTATATAAACAAAAAGATAAAAAAAAATTTCATTTTATACTCGATAATAATTGAGCAAAGAAAGAAATGCATAAAACGCATTCGGCGAAAGCGATTTATGTGTAATTTTCAGTGTCTTCTTATTTATTGTTGAAATTACTTTATTAGCCCTTCCGTTTAATCTTACTTGTCCACTATTTTTAAAATATATTTATTTCCTTTATTTATTACTTTTATTATATAAAGAAAATATTTTTTTTTACCCCTTCCGTTTAATCCTATTTGTCCACTATTTTTAAAATATATTTATTTCTCTTATTTATTACTTTTATTATATCAAGAAAAGATAATTATTTTTCCATTTTATACTCAACAATAATTGAGCTAAGAAAGAAAGGCATAAAACGCATTCGGTGAATGCGATTTATGTGTAAAGTTCAGTGTCTTCTTATTTATTATTGAAATTACAATATTACCCCTTCCGTTTAATCTTATTTGTCCACTAATTTTAAAATATATTTATTCATTACTATTATTATATCAAGAAAAAATAATTATTTTTTCCATTTTGTACTCAACAATAATTGAGTTGAGAAAGAAATACATAAAACGCATTCGGCGAGTACAATTTATGAATAAGATTGTCTCTCTTCTTATTTATTGTTGAAATTATTTGATTACCCCTTCCGTTTAATTTTATTTGTCTACTATTTTTACAATACATTTATTTCTTTTATTTAAAATGCATTCGGCGAACACGATTTATGAATAAATTTTTGTCTCTTTTTATTTTTTGTTGAAATTACTTTATTACCCTTCTGATTAATTTTATTTGTCCACTATTTTTAAAATATATTTATTTCTTTTAATCATCACTTTTATCATATCATGAAAAGATAATTATTTTTTCTATTTTATACTCAACATTAATTGCTTATATTTTTGAGAATTTAGTATCTCAATTGATTAGCTACTTAAAATTTCACTTTATCGGTGAATATTCTATTCTCCAGATTAATAATTTCTCCTTAATTTTTCTTTTCTCAACCCATAATTTTATTTTTCTTATCTTTAAGAAAAGGTCGTGACTTCATGCTATAAATTGATGATGAGAGAACAAAAGAAAATGAAAGTTCAAGTTAAGCACGCAAGAAAATTGTCAAAAAAATCCTTTGAATAACTATAGAATAGTAAAAGAATCCTCTAGAATACCTAGTCATATAAACGTTTTTATTTTTATTTTTTATTTGATGTTAGATACCTACTTTAGATTCTCAATTAATTTTAATTTGTATCATGTAAGACCTATAGAAATATCATGTAAAAAATATTTTTTAATAATTACAATAACGCCAACATATTATGTGTAGTTCATTTTGAGAGTACAGAATGTACGTAGATTTTATCTCAATCTTAGAGATAGAGAAGTTGTTTTGAAAAGACCCGGCTCACGGAAAATAGTTCAAAACAATCCAGAAAAAGAAGTAACAAAAAAGTGAAAGCATAACAAAACATTCTTAACAATAACTACATCAAAATAATATAATAATTGAAATACAAGAAACAACAAATAATAACAAAAACTGAAAGACAAGAAACTATATGAGTAAAGTTACGATTAATAGTATAACCAGTAGCGAGGCAACTCACTACTACGTACTAACATTTTACTCTAATCTATATATTTCAGAACTTTCTATTTAAGGTCATGTCCTCGTAAGTTGAAGTTGTAACATGTAGAATTGTCTAAACACATCTTACCAATATTTCTTTGGTCGGCCTCTATCTCTCTTAAAATCATCTATAACCAACCTTTCACGCTTTCGCTCAACTTTCATATGTCTTCTCTTCATATGCTTGAACAATCTAAGCCCCACTTTTTACGGTCTTGTTCCCTATTATTAATGAAAATATTCTAGTATGAAAGTAATTATATCTTTTTATAAGTAGTATTCAAATTGAAGCATTGAAAGGCATTTGAGATCAATTGACCATACTACGCAAATCTCAAGAACCACAAAATAAGGTTAGTTATAGCAAGCATGTGGGGTGCATATTCCATTATTACACTAACCAAACTAAAGCTTTATTTTCCCAAGTTTCCACCTTTTTAGTACTAGTTTTATTACTATTCCTAATTCTTAAAAAAAGTTTTTATTTTTCTTAAAGACAAAGGTATGGAGATGTGTGACTATCAAAGCCAAATCACATGCACATATGGGGAATATATAGTTAGTAATTAATTATATAGCCAATCAAGGTTTAAATTTTAGAAGAAAAAATATTAAATAATTTTTCAATATTTATTAAGTTTGGTATACAAAGTTATCTAATACTTGTATTGATAGAAAGAACAAAATACCTGATATAATAATTCCTTAATGTGTTATATTAAACTTATTTTATTATTCAATATTTGTCGATAATAGAAATTTTAAACTAGTCCAACATAAAGATACTAAAAACACATAATTTAATTAATTTATTCAGACATTAGAAAAATCAAAGAATTTATCAATAACCAAAAAATTAAAAATAAAATTTTAAAAAACAACAACTAATCTTATATAGCCTCCCCCTCCTACCCCACCACCATCACCAATAGAGGCTAGCTACCAATCTTGATGATTTCATGAATTTCAACTTTATACAATTTTCTCTATCTTAAGCCATCTCTACATCATTCATATTCATACTATATAAAACTACACTTTTTTTTTTCTTTTCCCTTCCCAAGTTTACCCAAAAACCATAGATTAGTTATCACTTTCAAGTATCAAAATTCTTAGTTCTCAACTATGGGTGGTGACAAGACTGAGAAGGTATGAATTTTTACTATTTAATTTCCTCTAATAGACATTAAACTAGGTCAGTTTTAAGCTATGTTGCTAGAATTCTTAGAAAATTAAAAGTATAAGTTGAATAAAAAAATGAGTAAAAATTCTGGCTTCGCCTCTGAAGGTGTGTTTAAAGAGTTCGAGCAACATACACTTTTAAAAGTTTTTGAATTATTGCAATATATGTGTAATTTATTTTACTTGACCAAAATATATATTAATCTCTTTATTTTTCTTGTTCTTTTTTTGTTAAATAGATTACCATAATGTTGCTAAAGGTTGATCTTCAATGTTCAAGCTGCTACAAGAAAGTCAAAAAAATTCTCTGCAAATTCCCTCGTGAGTTACTTTTTTGCAACTATAAATTTTTAGCAAAATTTTCCTTTTACAATTTTCACATAAGTAAAATGTCTCTTTTGAAAAAAGTCACTTTCTTTTATTTTATATTTCATTAAATAATTATCATATTATTGTTATTATAAGGACAATATATGTGTGGATGAAAACTGAGTTTTTTTTTTTTTTTTGATTTTGGTGTTAATTATTTTGGACAAGAAATTCGAGACCAAACGTATGATGAAAAGGCCAATATTGTCACCATCACTGTATTGTGTTGCAATCCTGAAAAAATTCGTGATAAATTGTGTTGCAAAGGAGGGGGTGTAATCAAGAGCATTGAGATCAAAGAGCCTCAAAAGCCCAAGGAACCCGAAAAGCCCAAAGTGCCTGAAAAGCCTAAAGAGCCCGAGAAACCCAAGGTGGTGGTTGTGGAGAAGCCTAAAGAGCCTGAGAAACCCAAAGTAGTGATCGTGGAAAAGCCTAAAGAACCTGAGAAACCCAAAGTGGTGGTTGTGGAGAAGCCTAAAGTACCTGAGAAACCTAAAGTGGTGGTTGTGGAGAAGCCTAAAGAACCTGAGAAACCTAAAGTAGTGGAAAAGCCTAAAGAACCGGAGAAACCCAAAATAGTGGTGGTGGAGAAGCCTAAAGAGCCCGAAAAGCCCAAACAACCCGTGAAACCCAAGGAACCAGAAAAGCCAAAGGAGGTTCAGAAGCCCAAAGAGCCCGAGAAGCCCAAAGAAGCACCTAAACCAACACCAATAGCTCTACCCCCACAACCACAACCACACTTCCCGCCAGTTCCAGAGCCAGTGATTGTGATGCCAATTCAAGGATATCCACACCAACCCTCTCCGGGGATGTATTGTTGTGGGCAATGTTACGGAGGCTATACTGGAGGCCCGTGTTATCATGATAATTGGTACGGAAGACCAGTACAACCACCTCCACCACCACCATGCTACGACACATATTCATACGGTTATGGGCCCGGGCCCGGACACGGGCCCATACCGTATGGACTTCCAAAGGGATGTTATGTGAACAAATGCGATTACTTTAGTGAAGAGAATGCATCTGGATGCTCAATTATGTGAATCTATCATGTTGGGCCATACTAGGGCCCATATTACATGTTAATTGGGTCTCCTCACCAAAAGTCCAAAACAAAGTTTGGATCTATCTGGCTTTCCATCTTTTTGTATGTAGATTACGTATAGTAGAAAATAAATACATAAGTTCCTACTTTTAAAATAAAAGTTGATAAGAGAGAATAATTTGGTGACCAGACTACTGGTTAACTGTCTTGTTACATAATTACTTAAAAAGTTTATTAATAAAAGCATTTTGTTAATCATTCTTTCTTTTAATGAAGTTAATTCTTGATGTTGTTATGATTAATTAATTTGGTGCTAAGAAAGTGAAATGTTCAATATGATTGAGGTGAATTGTGTTATTATACACTTTAAGTGGGATTATTATTATATCTTAATAATTGAAAACTTTAATTATTACACTTTGTTGTTGCAACTCTTCTCTGAAATCTTCGTAGGATACTTCATATATATCGATCTGTCCTTTTTCAATTGTAAATCAAGTTTTCAACAAAAAATGGCCCACAAAATGGACATTTAGAAAAGGACCTTTCCAAAGATTTACATCATTAGATAAAGGAAATTGTACCATATTGATAATGTGACATGATGTTGCTTAAATGTGAAGAAGGACAATAAACAGCTTAATAAAGTTAACAATGTTGGCTTCCAGCTTGCAAAAATAGCACAGTCGTCCAATAACATTATATATATGGACAAATTATTAAACTTTGGAAAATGGCCAGCTTGCAATTGATTATGACTTAAAAAGTATGCAAATATAGCTACTATATCTAATTATCTATAGTTATAGTTTTAAAATATTACTAAATGCACCAAAAGTTACTTATTACATATTAACTATATATCTTTAATTTATGACCGAAAGATTCAAAAGTCTTGTTTACTTTTTTAAACTTCGTCTCAAGTCAATACTAGACAATCAAATTGAAATAGAGGGAGTACTTTTTTTTCCTTCCAATTCCCTTGGTGATTTGCTGATAATTTTGGTTTTGTCATCTCGTTCTAGACCTTCATTCATTTTAGAAAGAAGTATCAAAAACACCTCTAAACTTGACACAAGTTATTAGTTTCATCTCCGAACTATTGATAGCCTTAAAAACACCCCTTTAGTTGACTAATTGAAGCTAAATACACCTCTGATCCTGCAACATTAGTGAAATACACCCCTAAATTCTCGTTAAGTTTAGGAGTGTTTTCAACACTTCTCTCGATTTTTATTAAGAACTCTATGCTCCTACAAGAGTTTGAGATCACTTGCTATGTCATGTTGCATATCGGGGGTATATCTAAGTTTAGTTAGTCAAGTAGAGGGGTGTTTTTAAGACTGCCAATAGTTCGGGGATGAAACTAATAATTTGTGCCAAGTTTAGGAGTGTTTTCAACACTTCTCTCGATTTTTATTAAGAACTCTATGCTCCTACAAGAGTTTGAGATCACTTGCTATGTCATGTTGCATATCGGGGGTATATCTAAGTTTAGTTAGTCAAGTAGAGGGGTGTTTTTAAGACTGCCAATAGTTCGGGGATGAAACTAATAATTTGTGCCAAGTTTAGGAGTGTTTTTGATACTTCTCTTCGTTTAATGGACTGAAGATTTTCCCAAACAATTATAACTGATATCGACTCCAAGCTGCGAGATGCATTCTTAAAGCATTTTTTTAACTCAGAGACATGTTTGCACAACTTCTTCGTCTCCTGATATTTTGAGTTTCATACATAAACTATTAGTTGTGCGAGTTTTCCACCTGAACTATTGTCAACTAGTTATCAAAATATACTCCAACTATCAGTTGTTCCTTTTTTTCCTAATATCATTATCATTCCGATAGAAAACTCACACATGATAGTTCAGATATGAAACTTGAAAAATCGGAATACTTGACTATTCACGTTTTTTCTTGTTTTCAGAGGTATTTTCTTTCAAAGTTTTTCATTGTTACTGAAATTTCAGGTAGGAATTTCTTCAAGTTACAAAAACCAAGCAACTGAAGATATGCAGTGTATATGCATTTCAAAACGTGCTTATAAGTGGCTTCCCTCAACCTCCTCTTTCATTTTCGTTTAAGCTTTCTCGATTTATGGAATTAATTAATTAGATATTCAAGACCCATAGGTCATAATCTTTCCTAAAAACAACTTCTACGATAATAGACATAAATGCATGATTAGTTCCACAAATTTCACTGCACTATATATATATTCCTCTACTAAAATAATGCAAGCTGAAAAAATATTAGTTATATTCTTACTTTAATTTTTAAATAGTTAAATTAAATTATCTTTATTTGATGAAACAAATTGCTTATGTACATATACCTATATCTATCTTGCACAATATTTAATTCGAATAACAAAATAAATTATTTTGATTATGTATAATTTTTTCTTTAAATACATTCTGGAATATATTCATTGTCTGCCTATTTCCTTTTTCTAGTAACTTCTATACTCCTCCGGACTCTAAACCAAGTTGCCTGTATTATTGGGATAAATATTTAATTGAAAAACAAACATATCAAATCAAACATAATACAATTAAAAATAAAAAAAACTCACTATATTATTTTTTATTATTTTGACAAGGTCCAAGTGACATGAATTCTTGAAAACTACTAACATAACGAAGGGATTAAAGTGTTATAAGATGTTCTTGAGCTTCAGTACTCCTATTCTTTTTAACGTTCGAATCAGTTTGTGCACATTTTAACTATTTTATTAAATACTTATTATTTCCATCAGCATAAATAAATGATGATGGCTTTAAAATAAAAAAATCGGCATAAATAAATATTATGTAATTCTGTTTACGAAGGTTTAGATAGATGAGAGGAAGTTATTATCAACTTATTGTTGTTGCGAATTAAACCCCGATCTCCTATGAACTAGACGAACGGAAGAAATTATTGTAATTTTTGTCTTTGTTGAGATTTGAACCATAACCTTCTATAAATTAGACAAGTGAGAAGAAAGCGATATGATTTTTGTTTACACTTAAATATGAACCCTAATCTCCCATTATTTTAATTAAATAAGAAATCACTAGTACTATTTTTGTCTCTACTGAAATTTGAACAATAATCTCACATGATTTTCATATTTCTACATATTTACCACTACATCTTTGAAGGCCTAGCTAGCTTCAGTTCTAATTTCTTCTTTCATCTTCCTTATGAATTCTTCAATCTTCCTATTGAGTTCTTCTATGCTCATATTGTCTTCACTCCCTTCTTCTTCTTCTACCATGTTCTTAATACTTACTTTAGCTTGCTGGAGGTCGTAACATAAATTGCCTTTTTGAGCTTGCATACCTTTTGTTAGTTTATCTGGTAATAAACATGTTGTATCATTTGACATATTCTTGGTGTCTGCTTTAACTTGCCGGAGGCCGTAACATAAATTGCTTTCTTGAGCTTGCATACCTTCTATTATTTTGTCTGATAATAAACATGTTTCTTCTACTATGTTTTTGGTACCTGCTTTAGCTTGCCAGAGGTCGTAACATAAATCACTTTCTTGAACTTGCATATCTTCAGATATTTTGTCTGATAATAAACATGTTTCTTCTACTATGTTTTTGGTGCCTGCTTTAGCTTGCCAGAGGTCGTAACATAAATCACTTTCTTGAGCTTGCATATCTTCAGATATTTTGTCTGATAATAAACATGTGTCTTCTACCATGCTCTTGGTGTCTACTTTAGCTTGCCAGATGTCGTAACATAAATCACTTTCTTGAGCTTGCATATCTTCAGACATTTTGTCAGATAATAAACATGTTATTTCTTCTACATCTTCTACTTCATCATAAAATCCACCTTTGATTAGTACATCTTCTTGTTTATCAAAGCTACAACAACTCAAGCTCTTGACAAGAAATGCAAGAATACTATTACATAGTAAAAACATGTATTTCCTATCAAAAACATGTGCAAAAAGTGGGAAAACAAGAGTTGAGAAAAAGTGAAAGTAATTATAGGTGAAATAGAAGGAGAAATCATAGGTGTAAGAAAAAAAGAAGGATATGAAAGATATTAGGACTAGAAATTGTAAAGTTTTCCTTATCATTAATTCATAGTGTGTATTATTTGGTCTTTTAGCACTTACAATCATTTGGCTTGAATATTGATGAAGATATATATCTTGAATTTTGGATTTGACTGGTTTATGTGCATGTATAGAGTATGGTCTTTATATAGGGAGATTTTGACACTACCCAACAGTCTTAACAAATTTCACAATAAAAAATAGTAATTCTTATTTTTTTATCAATATATATTGTGTATATGCATATATATTCATAGTACACCAGTAACGATTACGTCATAAACATAAACAAACTTTAAATTGATTGTCAAGTAAATACTCTAATTTTGAAAATATATGTCTAAACATTTTAACTTGATCTCAACTAACAACTAGACACTTTTAACTCATTCTCATTATATCTCGTAGGCATTTGATACACATGACACCTATATATTATGCATTTATACTACCATATCTACTATCTAAAAAATGATTATTAAGTAAAATATACATAAAAGTAACTTAGTAAGCTAATAAAACACTAATGCATACCTTGTTATAACATGTTACTATTTATTGATAGTGAAAAATTCCTTACACTGTTTTGTATAATTTACTTATATTATAGTACAATAATAATAATATTATTATTATTATTATTATTTCATGATTTTTTTAATAACAACTTTGAAATATTTTATTTGAAACAAAGATTTATTAAAAATAACATATTTATCTTCATGAAATAGAAATAAACTGTGTACACATAACCACTTTTTGGACCTCATTTATAAAAGCCCACACTGAATATTGAATTGTATTATTGTTGTTACTGTTATTGAACAGTATAATATCCATAAATGCTTAATGCTTCTGGTTACAAATAAATTCTCCATTGTACTAGAGATTTCTCTAAATAAAAAAAATGGAATATTATTCAAAGATACTTTGATTGCTAAAAATGTTGGGGGAGGGGGGGGGGGGGGGGGGGGGGGGGGGGGGGGGGGGGGGGGGGGGGGGGGGGGGGGGGGGGGGGTAATAAGAACCAAAAAGATTTTTTTAAAAAAATAAAATCTTATTCTTACCGAACCCCACCATGAGTAAATGTATATTAATCTTTAAATATGGTCAAATCTCTTTATAATAATAAGGATAAACTACATTATTAGACATACATCACTAGTATATATACTAATATTATCTTTACTTTCAAATAATTATATATATTACCACTTTTAATATTTTATACCATATATTAATATATTATTTGAGGATGCAATTAGATTATTAGATACCCACATATCTTAAAACTAGGATTGATTAATTATCTGTTTAATTAACTCTTTCACTCCAAATCAACCACTATCTCTTAATTCTCCCCTCCCATATTTATCACTCAATTATGTCTCCTCCTTTATGATTCAGGAATTTCAT